CCCCTCCCAGCCCAGCTGCAGCAGCTCTGCTCATGCAAGATGGAGCCCGGGCTCATTTCGTATGGCAGGGAGGACGCAGGGGAGGCTGGTGGCTCCTCCTGGATAACGCTTCCTTGGCACCGTTACCCACCGCAGGCAGCACAACCATCGCCATCGATAATCCTCAACCCACCTGGGCACGGGAAGAGGCTTCTGCAGGGATGGTGTTTGCAAGACAGCTTGGGATCTGCTGGCTTTCGTCATCCCACTGCCCAGGGACCCCAGGACACACTGGATGAAACACTGAACGTAGCCAAACTCCCCAAATTACACCCCAAGAACCTTGTGAGATGCTCTCCAGGACACTCAAGTTGCACAGGCATGAGCCACTTGCACGGCCCAGCACTTCCCCACGCTCCTGGGCAGGAGAAGTCACACGCAGACAAGTGACAACAGCTCCTCTGTCCAGGACCAGCCGCTTTCCACATGCAAAGGACCACACTGCAGCTCCCCAGTGCACGCCCGGAGTAACACACACAGGCACTGACTGGATAGAAAGGTTTTATCAAGTTTACAGTTTTAAAAAAAAAGGATCAAAAAAATTATTTTTTTTTTCTTTACATGTACATTACAAAAAATTTGCAATTAGGATCTTCATCCAGGGGTTACTGAGCTGATTATTAATAAAAAAATACAAACCAAAACCAAACCAACAAGAGAACACAGCAGGAAAGCTTGGCTTACACAGCAACCGACAGGGAGAAGCACAGACAGACGTGACACGGGGAAGGAGAAGGCAGTGAGTCTGCGCTGGGATGTGCAGCTACGGACACGGACCGGGCTCTGCTTCCCCGACAGCTTTACACCCGCTGCATCCGCGCACACGAAGGGGCAGAGCCCGGCCACTGGTGTTTATGTTGCAGGAGTAAGAAAATCAAAACAAATCTACAGTATTTTTTGCTCATAAGATTGGATTTTTTTCCTTTTTCTTTTTTCTTCTTTTTTTTTTTTTTTCTTTCTTTTTTTCTAAGCAGAGTTTCACTGCTTGAAACTCCTTTGGTCTTGAAATGAGTAACCCCCTGCACCCTGAGAGTATCCGTCAAATATCATCCTTCCAAGCCCTGCCTGGCCTGGCTGGGTCCTTCAAGGGCACTTCCCACCTTTCCTCCCACTATATCTTCTTGCTCAGCAATAAACCCCTAAGATACAAATGGAATAATTACTCTTATAAATATATTTATATCGTGTAGGAAAATAAGGCACTTCAGGAGGGTTACAGCTCGTCTAATTCTATGACATTCTAATCAAGATGGGGGGGGGGGGGGAAGGGGGTTGTTTAATGAATTAAAATGAATGTTAATACAGTAATAAAAACCATCGGATCCACTTCCCACTTCAAGGCTTTGTTTAAAAAGGAAGAGAAGAAAGCACCTCCCGAAATCCAACAGCAATGAAACCTGACCCGGGGCAGCTGCATCTGCCCCACGCGAGGCTCTGCCAGCCAGCTCCCCTCCAGAGCCTGTCAAGGGCAGGTACTTTCAAAAGAGGCACGTTAAATAAGTTCACAGACTAGAAAAAAAAAAATAATTAAAAATAAAATAAAAATCCTTTCCCTGAAACAACACTCTGCACAGTTTCATGGCCATCTGGGATCTCCAGGAGCCCCTTTCCCCTCGATCTGGTCTGGTGCTTTGGGTCTGAT